ACCAAGACCAACTGTTTGGCGGTAAACTGACAGTCATAAAGTAACCTGGACTCTGACTCTGACTTGAGCTTCATCAGTTGTGCGATATTCTCCAATTGGTAAGGATGTTAGCAGAGGATGCTGTTAAGATCTATTATTGGAAAACGACTAGTGAAGACAAAGAAGACTTTAAGTGTGCTGCAGTTACGGTGATCTCTAGAGTGTGCAAACCGGGGAGGCTGTTATAGTTGCTTCTATTTATGAGTTATGTGTTTTAATGTTAAATAAATCCAGTCACTAATCTAAACCCTGTCTACAGTCACACTCAAAATCATGACAATATATTTATTATATGCAATTATTCACAAATTTTTTCTATCTCAAAAATATGTTTACTTAAAATGTTTCCACAGTCCTATCATTTTGTGCTTACATATCAGTCAGTTTTACTGATATTATTCATAATAACTTTTTAGAAGTCTAATCAGCTGAAAAGTCTGTGACCTTTATGTTGGATTGGTCTTCTGAAATGTTATGACATGCAGTTTGACAGATGGGTATCAATGTTTTGGAGAACATGCTGCCTCCATCTTCAGGGTATAAGAGACTCCTAAAAAAAGAAGGAAATAGGCTCCCTGCAAATATTAGTACTCATCTACCAAACTATACAGCATTACATCCTTGAAGAACCTTGATTCTCACTACCATAAGAACCTCAAAAACCACCCTCATGTTCAATGCTTAAACATTTTTAATTTCTCAACAAGCATTAAAAGCAATAATAGTGGTGCATTAATTTCTGTATTGTTAACAATTTAACAGCAATATCACTGAACAGGATAGGCATGAGGTAACATGCCTCAATTATATTCAGTAGGCACATTGGTTGTCTCAGATGGGGTCCAGGGCTACAGTGACTGAGGTCTATTGTGGGTTTCCATAGTCATTCAAGCAACCACTAATCCCCCATACAATACTGCTGTACTACACCTGCTTGTTGAATGCATCCTTTAGCATTTTTTTTTAATACTTGCAATTTTATGTTCTTCCACCAGGGAAGGAATCACATCCCAAAGCCACGTAAAACAGGTAAATGGGTTTGCACTGCATGATACTCACGACAGTAACCTTCCAAGCGACATATGTGTTTACACTAACCTGATAATGTTCTGGTACTCTTCTTGATAAGAGCCCTTCTCGAGGGAGACTGTTCCCATTCCATCAAGCAGCTCCTTCCTCATGCCCTCGAGGTGCTTATACAGCGGATTACTTCTGCCAGCCTGGAAATGGAGCAGTGCTCTGCCAATCTGCACCCCCCATGACATGTTTTCTGCAATATCAGGCAATGAAAGCAGACTTCCCAAGTCATCAAACATGTGCAGTCGCCAGAACGCTTCTGCTTCAAATTCCTGCATTGCTGGCGCCATTTCTGGCCTGCAAAAAAAAAGAAAGAAAACAACCATTCTCTAATTTATCTGAGAACTATGTGAATTACTTTCATCCTAATTTTCAACTCAAAATATTCATGCATACTGATTTCAAAAACAAATATCCGAACTGAAGTTTATATGAGATCGGTCATGTAGCTGGAAAATAGGATCATTAATGTAGTTACTGCAAAATTTTCTCTGCACAATAGGAATTTTAATATTGTATATTTACTATTCAATATTAAAATTTTGAGGGTTACTACAAAATTAATATTCCTGCTGTCTTTCTGGGAAAGGTTATGTTGGTGCAAGGAGGAAATATCCACTATTTCATTCATTTATTCACCTTCCATAAATCCACTACTGGTGGCCTGGCCAATATGTTAATAATATGGTAATCTGGAATCAGTGATGAATATGAGAAAACATAATGTTTACAAAGAATGCTCCTTTGATGAATAATAGTGGATACTAAGAATCTGATATTTGCTACAGCTTTCTTCTTTGCTCAGATATGTAGCTTGCTGGATCAGCTGCCAATGGTACAGTGCATGCACTTCTTTTAAAAGGACACCCCAGTTCTTCATGAATGAAAAACAGCCATCTACTTGAAGTACTGAACCTACTTACATATGACAACACCTAATACATTCAGCATCATATTCACTCAACTAGTTTAAATTTCTTTCATACCTTTCTGAAACAATTCCTTGTGCAATTCTAAGTGCAGTGATGGGTTGATCCAGTCCAAGATAACACTGTACCATCCCTTTATAGAAATCTGGACCTCTTCTCTCATCTTGTGCCATGCGTTCGTAACAAGCCACAGCATCCTAAAGGCAATGATTTAGTGGATCTTTGAAACACTTATGAAACTAGCTTTTCTATATGTAAGATAACAAGCATTAAAAATACCTGGTAACAACAAAATTCCAAAGGACCTGTGGGAACATCCCACATTATCACGCATTTCTGCAACGCTCGCTCTTCACATCTCTTCACCATCACGCGCGCTAACCAATCAGATTGCTTCAAACGATCGCATTTATACTACGCTCGGCGCTAGCCCGCGTCTACACCATTACGCGAGCTAGCCAATCAATTCTTCCTCCTCACTTTCGAGTTTGGCTCCGCCCCATCGACCAGCGTATAAAAATGAGCGACTCCAGAGACGAGATATTCAGTTCCATTCAGTTCGATTCAGTTCACTTCAGCAAGCAACTTCAGCCAGCAGGCTTCGTCGCCAGCGCTCGGTCTTCGGATACATCGGCAGGCTGCGCCGGGCACGACTGCCTCGGCCCTCCAGCGCTCTCACACCCGACTCACTGGGGCACAGCGCCTGGACTCGCCGGTGGTCGTGTTACGGTTCGACTCACTGGCCATCTGGCGTAGCCACTGCCTCATGGCTCCTACAACCGCGCTCGACTAGCCTTTCACCACCAGCAGCAACCTCCGCCATTTGCCGCGCAGCGATCAAGCAACCTCCAACTCACGCTGCCGCACGGCAACCAAGCAACCTCCAGCCACGGCCGCATGCGGCCAGGCCACTCACCGCAACTAGCCTTTCTCCTTACCGGCGCGCGCCACGCTACCTCACCGTCAAATCATCTCAGCAACCACGGTCCTTTTCAGGGCCAACAAATTGTTCCGAAGAAGTGGGTTGTCATAGGAGTAATGACACAAACACACACGTTGACGAGAGAACCCCACAGACCAATACATGTATCCCCATCCCCAATAACTGGCATACACAAAAATTCAGATCTACATGGTCTGACAATAAAGTTCGCGAACTCACCACCGTGCCTGCCATGGCAGCAGTGGACACAAATCTCAGTATGGTTTTATGACGTTGGCATATCAGCATTTCACAGCTGTGTTGTTGTTGATATGGTAGTCTCTTTCTGAGTGGCGTCTATTATTGTCTGAGTGTGTTTTGGTGTGCCGTTGCAAGAATGTTGGAGCTTGAATTAAATTTCTTGTTAAACTTGGAAAGAGTGGAAGTGAAATCAAAGAGATGCCGGTGCAAGTTTACAGGGATAATGCTATGAAGAAAACAGCAGTTTACAAGTGGGTGACACGTTTTTCTGAGGAAAGAGAAAGTGTCACTGACAGAGAGATCAGGACAGCCAGCAATGAGCAGAACCGAAGAAAACATTGCAGTTCATCAAATTGTGCGTGAAAATCGTCGGCTTACTGTCAGGAGCACAGCAGAGCAAGTGAACATTGGCAGAGAAACAGTTAGGAAAATCTTAACTGAAGATGTTGACATGAGGAGAGTGGGTGCAAGAATGGTGGGAAAGGAGCACTGTCTGTGAGGGAGTTTTTGGCTAGTAAACAAATAACTGTGCTGGAACACCTTCCTTATTCACAAAATCTAGCCCCCAATGACTTTTTTCTGTTCCCGAAGATAAGGGAAATATTGAAAGGAAGGTATTTTGATGACATTGATGACATCAAGAGTAATGTGACAGCAGCTCTGAAGGCCATTCCACAAAATCAGTACCAAAATTGTTTTGAAGGGTGGACTAGGTGCTGGCAGTGGTGCATAGCTTCCCAAAGGGAGTACTTTGAAGGTAACCTCAGTGATATTCATCAATGGGGTATGCAGCACTTTCACCACTGTGAGTTCACGAACTTTATTGTCAGACCACATATACATACTATAAATTTGTTGGAGATGCCAAATTCATGGAGCACTGAAAGATTTGTGAAAGATAACTGACAAATGGGCAGTAAGCTGGAGTTCGATAAGCATTTCAAAGAGGGATGTCATAATACTTTCCTATTGATGGTACCAGAAACAAATACCAGTATGCTTTTTGTTTAGTGCCTCAAGACATGTTGACCTTTCTGAGGTCCTCCAACCTAAGCAAGGGCAAAAATTCATTTCTGAAATGGGGGTACCCACAGGGTTAATTCTGTTACCCCCAGTGACAGCATGATAATGAGAGTGATAGTCAGCAGAAGCCTTCAGCTTAACACAGGCTCCAAACAACATGAACAGCCTGGTATTCTCCACCTGCCAACAGTTTCATCTTTGACAGCAGTGAAGGTTCCATTCTGTGAGCAGAAATATCCACACACAGCTTTGACCAAGGATCAGACCTCTGAATGAGAGTCCAGTGTTTTACCCTAAGAGTACCAGATTCCCTCATGATATCAATATTTGACTCCCACAACAATCTTGCTCCAAATCTGAGATTTCTTTAAAGGAAGCTGGTGCTACAACATAACTATTATGACACTCAGTTTTGACATGAAGAATCTGGAAAACATTCCAGTTTCAGGGTAACTTCAGCATCTCATTTCCACCTCCCTGCTGAGAAATGTAAATGGATGGCCAAGCATGTTATCCTGGTCGATCTCATAATTAAACATATTAAACGTAATTTGGCAGAGCAGTGTAGTAATTTTTACTTATAAATCGCACACCACTCAATTCTTTAATTACTTCATACTAGTGATGTACATACATGTTCTCTGAGAGGTTAGGTCAGGTCATGTTAGGTTAGGTTACAGACATACACATACATTCTTTGGCACTTCTTTTTTTCTAAATTAGTTAAATTAAGTTACGGCACACAAAGAATCAGAGGACATCAAACATGCAAGATTCTTGCCTCTTGTGTTAAAAAATTTCAGTGAGTTTCAGGCATGAATTTTGAAATGTTTTGTGGAATAGATTTATGAACATAACCCTTCACAATTCAACATCCTGCCAAATTATCACAGAATTCAAACACGCTGCTACACTGATGACACAGTGAACAGTGGTGAGCAGTACCACTCTAGGAATGTATCCAGGGGTGCTTGGTTCAAATCTTAGCAGGGAGAGCAGCTACCCAGACTTGGTATTTTCATGAATTTCCTCAATCCCTTCAGGAAAATATAACAACAGCACCTCCATTAAGTACAAACTGCTTTCTTCTAAATACTTTCTAAATCATCATTCATCAGACATCTTACCATATGATACTACATAATTTAGATACTGACAGCATAAAAATACATGACAAACCACTGCCACCACATCACAATTCAAGCAGCCTTGTAGTTTGTGGGGAAAACTTGACTGGGTGCACCCTGCTGCAGTTTTCCTCAGATGTCTTGTGTCACCATTTTTTCTGTATATGCAACAGGAATTCAGACGAAAAGGTTTTTGACTGTAACACGCTTTCACACCGCAAACTGTTTCCTTTATACATTAAGCTCACCTTCTGCAACCTGTACACACGGGCAATAACTGTTGAAATGTTGGCACAAAAATCCAAAACACCACAGTTCTAGTAGTTTGTGTGGACTCATATAGTACAATACAGATGCAAAGTTACGGCAATTGAAGATGACAATCGAACAAGTAGTTACCATAGAAGGAGGGATGTAGGTGACCCTATATGGTTATATGATGACCTGATAATCTGAAGATCATGTCCATAAGTAGGTGCAAACGTTTAATTCCTTCCCATTTGCTCACAGATGAGTGAGTCTTGAATTTTCAAGACTGGAAAACTGAATTAAGAAAAAATATTTTATATAAATTCAAACAAATTTTGAGAGCTTTCAGATATCTACTTTCTTTCAAGTAGTAGCATACAAGCTACCCAACAATTAGATTTATAACAGCAACATAGCATGAATCAACATGTCAATAAAACCTGTCTCTTTCAACCCCCCTCCTCCTGCCCATGGTGAATAATGACAAGGCCCCAAACATAATATTTTTTAGCACAACGGTATATGAAAACTCCTTACTAATAAGGTATTGCTATTAAAAATGTTATTCGCATTGTGAAAAAGTGGCTATTGTTGTAATTTATGATTAGAGTGAAAAACTGATCTAGTATAGAAAATTCTAACTGTTGAATGTTTACCAAATTCCTGACTTGAACTGAAAAAGCCCTATTTTTTTATTTCCAACATCACTTCTATCAGCTATAAATTGGTGTTATAATATTAAAAAAGACTGTCTTGGTATGGGAAAATATAAAATTCCTGCCACCTGTTGTTCCTATATGAAAATTCTTAGAAGAGACGTAAAAGGATTGAAATAGCAAAGTCGTATCACAATTGGTGCATGATGATAATGTGTTGAAATTCACAAGCTTGTGGAGGAAGGCTTTCAGCAGTGGACTTGCACAGGAAATTATACAATGCCACACATTATGGGTGCATACTAACGTTTCTGAGGGACAGCCTTCAACCTAAGGTTTGCAATAAATGTGAGCCAATAAGTGAAACGAAGTGCGGGTACACACACACGCACACACACACGATCTTGCTAGCTCACTGTGACATTGTGCTTATGATTTTCTTGGATCATAAAAGGTGATTAGTTCTGGGTGTTCTACTTCCTACCACATATAAAACAAACTAGTAGAGAATGGGATATCCTGAAGCTTAACAAATTTTGAGTAGCGTTACAAACTGCAAAGGACAAGCTGACTGTTTTCTGAAACATGAATAATGTCACAGTGATGGCATTTGCAGGAGGAATCCACAACAAACAGCACAATGCTGGTATAGTGGAACATTTCTAAAGACAGTCATCAGGCGAAAACAATGCAAAACGCTATCCATGGGCATCTCCTTGCACTATAACAACACATCCACATTCATCTCAGGCAATGGCTGCAACAGTCAAGGAACTTTCCACAGAAGTCCTCTCACACCTGCATTACTCACCAGACCTCACAATGAGCTATCATCACCCTTAAAAGCAGAACTCACGCAAATCCGCTGAATGCTGACAAAGTCAATGCATGATGCAGAAGTGGTTAAATGACCAAATAAAACAAATTTTCCATAAAGGCTTTAGAAAATTAGAAAATGTATACTGAAAAATATGATTACTATTGAAAAATAATGCAAGTTGCTTCTACTGTAGAGAAGGGATTTATTTTGCAGTGAAGCAATGTTTGCATCTGAATTACTCTCATATATGAAAAGAAGGAATGCGACAAAACAGTAATACATTTAACTTATATGTGTATTTGGAAAATTCCCTTATAATAGTTTTCCTCAGTCTTTCAGGTGAACATACAATGTCCACTTCCTCCAACATTCCTCTTAATTCATCATATACGAGGACTATTTGGAAAGTAACCTCCAGTAGGCTGTTAACAAACAAGCAACGAGTAAAAAAATGATCTAATATAAAAAAAAGTACTACTTAAGCTACTTCTCAACATAATTGCTGCCAGAATTGAGGCACTTGCCGTATTGGAGAATAAGTTTTTGTATGCCTATGTCAAAGAAGTCTGCCGCCTGTGAGCTCAGCCACGTTTTGACACCTTCCATCAATTCCTCATTATTGCTGAAGTGCTGTGATCCCAACCAGTTCTTCAGGTAGGTAAACAGGTGGCAGTCACTTGAAGAGAGATCAGGGCTGTAAGGAGGGTGGTCAAACAACTCACATTTGAAATGCTCAAGCAATGCTTGAGCACCAGCAGCTGTATGCAGATGTGCATCGTGACTGGAGGAGCATTACACTGAATAAGAGCATTCCATGCCCTTTGTTCTGAATTGCCCTATACAGTTCTTTGAGTGTTTTGCAATACACTTCTGATGTCACTGTGGTCCACTGTTGCATAATTCCACCATCAGCACTCCTTTCCTGTCCCAGAAAACAGCTGTCATTAGCTTTCTTTGAGAGAGGGTTTGTTTAAAATTTTTGGCTTCTTTGGTGAATGTGTGCTTCCATTGCTTTGACTGTTCTTTTGGTTTCAACATTCACAAATGAAACCAAGGTTTCACCACCTGTTATCTGTATGTGATTGCAGAATTCATTGCCATCTTTGTGGTACTGCTATAAAAAAGTCAATGCCAAAGAAAGCCATTCTCTGCGTTTTTTGCACACCTGTGACCATTTTTGGAACCCATCTTGCACAAAACTTGTGACAGCTGAGCCAAACTGTGATAAAAAGGGGTAGAAAGGATGTGTGAAATATGTGGAAATTAACACAAAAGTTCTGAAATTGTGAAGCGCCATCTTTCACAAATTGTTTGCTCAACACTTCGAACAAGATCCTCACTCACTAAAGATGTCTGGCCGACCACATCATTCTTCACCATGGATATCTGTTCGCCACCCATCTTAGAGCATTCTATACCATTGTCTTACAGTTCCTTCAGTCATTACATTACTCATGGCCATGAAAACAGCACATAATTCATGATGGATTTCTGCAGCACTCATGTTTTTAGCATGAAAAAGAAATGCACCAGTGTGAATTCCTCAGCTGCAGAAGGGCCTGCAGCTGAACGATACGTTCACGGATATATATAACCCCGTATTTGATATTTTGGTAGGGATACACACACCAAATCCCCCTCCCCTTCTTCATTTCCCTAATCACTTACTGCCCACTCTTCCCCTATCCTTCATACCACTCGACTCCTCCTGAACGTGCCCGTATATGCAGACCCCGCAAAAACAAGTAGCTGAGATTTCCCCGCTACATCATAGCGATAACAACAATGTAGTGAGCATCCTGCATGTATTGCACTCATAAGAATAGAACAACTTAATACAAATAAGTACACATTTCAAATAATCTAACATCAAACACTTAAGTTCTGCCTTGTAATAGCAATAATTCAAACTGTTACAGATCAACAAATCAAATTGTTACAGATCACGTCACTTAATTATGAGCTTAAGCTCAAGACAGTATTAAGGTCGTGTTATGACCTACCCCACACAAGAAGATTCTGTTACGTGGGCACACTATGGTATAGTCGCTTCCACTGACAAATAAGTCAACACGTAGCAGTCATAGAGTCCTACCATTAATACACAATTTTTAACTTTCATCATTTTAATCTTCAGCACCTGGTTTTTTAACTTTAACTTTTGAGGTTATTATTTTAATTGTATTATTTAAGTACATTCAGATAACGTTTTGACCAAGACTTATTTATATATATTTATGTATTTGAATTAAGTACAAAGACACAATAAGGATCCTTATTTAGTGAACTGAATGATAATTGGATGCAGTTTAGTAGTTTAAAGCTGAACACTGTATGCCTGATGATGGCCTGATACAGGGGCTGAAACATGTTGTGTTAACATAAAACAAATTCTGATACAGTAGTGTCTTCTTTGTTTTAAAATACAGAGTGTTGTTGTGTAGACGGTATATTCTTGTATGCTTTATATCTTATGTGAGACACACAACAGGATGCAAACTATCAAGATTTTCTGAAGTATTTTAAATCGAACTATACTTCAGTAGCCTCTGAACATTTAAGCACAAAAGCTGTTAGTCCGCCAAACTACATTTAAAGCTCAAAAAAAAAAAATTATGGACAGTTCACTTTTAACTGATGTTAATACTGCTACATGTAGGCATGGTACGCTCAACAAAAATGACAGGTTCTAGTTCAGATGATTGGATTTATTAGAACTTTGGTTACAATTCCTCTTAATCACATTTAAATACAGCACCATACCTCATTTACACATTTTATAATTCACTGTTATACACACACCAGTCCTCTCCTAGTAAAGCAGTTAAAATACAGGAACTGGTATTTCAAATCACTCAAAATATTACACATAGATAAAATCTTCAAATCACACTTTAAATCCTCACAGGCCGACCTCCTGTATCCTTCTGTACTCCTGGTTTCAATTCGCTCTGTTCACGTGCTTCCGCTGCTGCTATCCCTCTCCTCTATGACAAACTCAGAACTCAGGACTCTGTGTTACTCACTGCTAGTCCCAATTCGCTCTTCTTATATAGCCACAACACAGACCCCATGAAAAACACTGCCTCTATTATTATAGAGGAGTATTTACCTAGTTGTTGCAAGGCAACAGTCGCAGTGCAGAATTCATAGAAAAGAGTCTCCCTATTGTTGAGGTTGTTTAATGAGCTGTTGCTTGGCAACACGTTGATCAAATACATTATAGTACAATTGATAATTTTAAAACATAAGCCCCTTTCTGTGCTTCAAAACAAAACATTCTAGTTCACATAACATATATATAAACTATTACACAAACTATATACAATCAGCAACAAATCTACATATGCATACCACAAGATAATCTGTATATACCTGTAACTGTCCAGTAACTTCATGAGCAATTATCAGTTCTTCAAGGGATGGCTCCTGCTCTCTCGTTGCCATTATACCGTGGACAGCATCTGGTTCATTCAAACGTGCATATATTTTCTGCAAAAGAATAATTTGACATGATTTACTACATACTGCAGATACACATGAACATGTCCCCCAGTAAAATTACGTACATTTTAAGCTGTACAAATTTCTGTGAAATGTTCAAATTATGGCATAAGAATGCACTGCAACATTCCCTGATGTAGTGTACAGGTACAGAGGGTAAGTCCAAATCTGCTATGAATTAGCCCTTATACTTTTGGTTTCTTTAACCTTGGTGTTATTTTGTCCAAATATCAAATATTAACGAGCACCCCATTTTTTCTGCTTGACCAATCTCAAATATACTTTAAATTTTATGTATTTAATGGCTTAATGCTTCCACCAGACATTAAATATCAATGTCAATTTCTTTCTTGGTTTGTTACGCTACGCCATTGTGGGCGATGTTGCCTGTTTCAGAGTATATGCAGTCTCCATTCTCAGATTGGTGAGTTACTGTGCATATACATAGGTCGTACCAAATGTCATGAGCAACTTTTTTTGCATACAACCTGGGAACAACAGACAAAAGAGAATATGGCAGTAGGTGGAACCAGCTGTTGTGTTAACCTTGAGTGTCTTGTGACATCAATAGCTTGCATCATGTGACCAGTATCACTCCTAACAAAATGGCTAACGATATGTCATTTCGCCAGCGTGCTGTCATCGAATTTCTTGTGAAAGAGGAAATCCTTGCTGCAGAAATTAACCAGAGACTTCAACGTGCTTATGGAAGTGTGTGCATGGGTGCGAGCAGTGTTTGAAGATGGGTGAAACATTTTAAAGNTGGGTATTGACCAAAGACCACAAAGGTCAGCGAAAAGCCATCACCTCAGAACTCCTGCAGAAATATCGACACAAAGGCGATGATTTTTTGCTCTGTATTGTGACAGGTGATGAAAGCTGGTTTCACCATTTTGAGCCTGAAACGAAACGGCAGAGTATGGAATGGCACCATTTGCATTCTCCACCAAAAAAGAAGGCAAAGGCAGTGCCATCAGCTGCGAAGGTGATGGGCACAGTCTTCTGGGATGCAGAGGGATTTATTCTGGCCGAATTCCTGGAACCTTGGCAAACCATCAATGCTGCTTGTTATGTCCAGACGCTGCACAAGCTCCGTCGTGCATTGCACGATAAACATCTGGGACGAAACATCATCATCCTGCATGACACTGCTCGCCTCACATTTTAAAGCAATTGCAAAGATGGGGTGGGAAGTTCTTTCACACCCCTCCTATAGCCCTGATCTGGCACCCGCCGACTACAATCTTTTCAGATTTGTGAAGGATCAGCTGCATGGACGTTTTGAGACAAGGGTGGCAATTCAGAAAGCAGTGCGTCAGTGTCTTCGGATGGCTTGAATGGGATTTTACAGAAGGGGAATTTTCAAAACTCTCAGAACGCTGGAAGAAATGTGTACAAAGAAGTGGCTATTATGTGGAAAAATAAAGAAAGGTCTGTAGTTTGAGGTGAAATATTTGGTTTGTCAATAATAAAGCATGTTACTTTACAAAAAATTGTTCCTCATGACTTTCAGTACAACCCTCGTATATAGCCTTCTGATGTTTGAAATGGAAGAGTGGACAGGAGGATACTGGCATATATTTCTCCATCTAGGCATGTAGGATCAGTGGACCAGAAAAAGTTGTGCAAATTGTCATTTTAAGGTCCAAAGAAATGTGCCAAAAATCCCTTGGCAACTTACAAGCATGTTCTCCAGCAGTTGCCCATCAAAGTGCTTGTATGGAAAAACACTGCTTAACTTTACTTCTACTTTTGCCATGAGATGATTGTAGGTTTCTGAAGTAGAATTATTACAGTCTCATTGCCTTTCTCGTAAACTCGTAGAATAACAGACTCCTGCCACTACTGAAACAACGCTTTCTTTTTCCAAACTGAATTAATCAATTTATGGTTTTCAGAACATAATATTTCACCACCTGCACAAATAAGTTCTGCTGGAATTTGATAAATACATGGTGATCTAGACCTCTTCAACTTTGCAACAGCAACTTCAACCGAAAAGATTAGGGTCAGATACTGACTGTTCAGCTGTACATATTTCCATCTGCCTAACATCAATAACCCTATGCACATGCAATTACTGAGGGAAGAAATTCTTCCACACATTTAAAATGTTACAGGAATATGCTAGCAGATCACCATTCTCATCCTTTACCAAGTCCCTTTCAGGTTGGTAAACCTTCTCAAATTAATTTATTCCCCTATGTGTGTCTCTAATGTTCTTATTCTCACTGTATTGCAAGTTCATTGCTTGTGTCTTTCAAATAATCACTCTTTTTGATGATGAAATATCTACTAGCTTCACGTTTTATGTTGGTCAGATAATACCCATTTATTCGGCTTGGATCTTGTAACGGTGGTAATTTAGCTCACTTCCTTTGATCTAATATTTTTAATATTCTCTCTCACACGCTATATTGATATCCACATCATCTAAAAGCAAGAAATCAATATAATAAAAGTTTAACAACAATGAAGGCAAGTTTTGAAGTTCATAAAATACCTATTCAAACCTACCATAAAGAGCCACAATTGTTCTTGAAACTGCTGAGGATTCTCTTTGATGAACATTTCCAGATACATCAAAGCCCGTGGATACTCCGCACATTCAAAATTAGATGTTGCAATTTTAAGGGCAGAAATTTGATTGATGAATGCTGCAAATAATATAAATATGGTTACAATATCAGTCAATTGAAAACAAATCACAGTAACTAGTAATTAATTTCATCTTGCAAAAACACAGGTGTAACATCTACTGAAAATTCAAAATAAATCCCCAGTTGTTACAAAAAGTATATTGCTATAATCACTGCCCACACCCTGCACTTAGCATTTTCCAATTCTATGGAGTACTGAAGAAGTGTGTCAAAGGAAAACATAAGATGGTGGTGGTGGTAGCAGTGATGATGATGTGAAAACCAAGGTGTTCTGAATGGGCAAATACTGAGCCTTGATTTCTTCTGTGGGATATGAACAAGTAGTGGGGCAATGTTTCAATTGCTCTTTTACCCTGAAAATGGAGGCAGTATACACATCTGAAACCACATACCAGACTACTTGGTATCATAATCCAGAATAATATGTATATCCAGCTTCTTATCATTATTACTGCATATTTCACAGTGCTGTAACTGAAGGATCTAATGCCCACTGTTCAGAAATTATTTCTAAGTTTGTTACTGTATGAGGGCTATTCAGAAAGTAGCATCCCATGAGATGCTAAGAGAGAAAACAAGCTATGAGAAAAAACATTATGACAAAAAAAGATGTGCACATATTTAAGTTACTGCTCAATGTAGTCACCACCAGAACTGAGGCACTACTCATACTGGGGAATAAGTTTTTGTATGCCTGTGTCAAAGAAGCCTGCCACCTGTGAGCTGAGCCACATTTTGACACCTTCCATCAACTCCTCATTATCATCGAAGCACTGTAACACACCCAGTCCTTCAGCTAGGTAAACAGCTTGTAGTGGCTCAGAGTGTGATCAGGGCCGTAAGGAGGGTGGTTAAACAACAAGCATTTGAAATACTCCAGCAGTGCTCGAGTGCCAGGGACTGTATGCAGAAATGCATTTTCACAGACAAGCACTACACTGGATGCCAGCATTCCATGCCTTTGTTCTGAATGGCCAGCCCTACACAGTATTTTTAGTGTTTTGCAATACACTTCTGATGTTACTGTGGTCTGTTGTTGCATGGATTCCTCCACCAGCACTCCTTTCCTGTCCCAGAAAACAGCTGCCATCAGCTTTCTTCCAGAGAGAGTTTGTTTGGTGAATGAGTGTGCATCCACTGCTTTGACTGTTCTTTAGTTTCAACATTCACAAATGAAACCCAGGTTCCATCACTCATACGATGTGACAGAAATTCATCGCTATCTTTGTGGTACCACTCTAAAAATTCAGAGCCAAAGGAAGCCATTCTCTGCATTTTGTGCACACCTGTGAACATCTTTGAACCCATCTTGTGCAATACTTGTGATAGCCTAGCCAAACTGTAATAATCTCATAGAGAACAGTGTGTGAAATTTGTGGAAATTCACATGAAAGTTCTGAAATTACGAAACACCGCCTTCATAAATTTCTTTGGTCAACAACATGAACAAGATATGGCTCAGTATAGACGGCTGACTGACCATTTCGCTCTTCATCATGAACATTTGTTTGCCCACCCCTCTTTGAACATTCTACACCATTCTCTTACAGTTCCTTCACTCATTAAATTTTGGCCATAAACTGCATATAATTTATGATGGGTTTCTGCAGCACTCACTGAAGAAAGAGAGTACCAGCGCAAGATTATCAGTTGGAGGATACATCATAACTTACTTTGTAAAGACAAGAACAAACACTAGGCGACCAGTTATATGATGGTTTACATGGCAACGAGTCATATAACACTATCTAGCATGCGCAAGCTCTCCCCTGCTCCTACATTAGTAGCCTAAAATAAACCATGTTTACATTCTGAATAGCCCTCACGTAACTTTATTTATACTTAACATGGTACTGGTATTTTGGGGGCCACTGCATCAACCCTGGGCCATTGTTCCAATTCAGCAGTGGACGGCACTGAGGCAGTAAATAAAAAACGCATATGCAACCAAGCTAGCCAGCAAAAAATGTCATCAATTTAAAAATTCATATTCAGATTTATAAATGTTATGATATGATGTACATTTACAAGTCACCAGTAGCTGCTCCTGCCACAAGTTTATGAGCTTCCATACTGATAAATCAATATCTTGTGTTCTTTGCTGTACCGTGCCATATGGTACGGTAGCAGTAATAATATTCTTAATAATACAAGTTGCTAGTTTGAGATGGACTATCTTGTTTTTGAATCAGTGTCCACTAGAGGAAACATAAGGCACACATATTTCATTGATCCTACACAGTATACACGTAAGTGTGGAAACATGGTTTTATCTAACATGACCACCTTGCCCTCAGGGATGAATCTAATTGCCCAGGTTCCCCTAAAAGGATGGAAATGGACAATTCATACACAGTAGCATACCACATACATACGAAATATAAAACAACTACCGGGATTTACAAAAAGAGTTAATCACACAATGCTGTTGAGTTCTGTTCTCTCAAAATCATCATCAACAGTAATCTGTCAGACGACAAGTCCACAGTCTCTTCCAAAACAATTCCTCCACTTAATGCAGTCTAGAGCTTTCTCCTTCAAATGACAGTATCCTCTTCTGTCGCCAAGGTCATCCAGCATCTTCTTACATCTTCTTCCTCGTCTTCTTGTCACTTATATCTGCCCCTCTATCTTTCCTTCAATAACTTCTTTTACAAGGCAGTTTCTGCGTAAAACATGACCAATCCAATTATCCTTCTGATTTCTTATTTCGTGTAGGATATTCCTCTGCTCACTGACTCTAATTAACACTTCTTCATTTCTCACATACTCGGTCCAACTGATCTTCTCCATCCTTCTCCAACACCACATTTCAAATCTTTCCAGATGTTTCTGATCTACT